CTGCTCTCCTTACCTCTACTCTAATATATGTATAGTACTTTTATTACAATACACAACAATTTACCAGTCAAGTGGCGACATGTTTGTTAACAAAAATGAGTCAGTATCAGCATGTCAGTGAGGTGATAATTAACGAAAAAAATTAATACACACAATTAAGAGGTAGAAATGGCTGCAACACATGGATTGCGTAATGCATAATTTCGGCAAAATGAAAAGTATTTAAGGAATAGGCGTGCGCACAAGTTGATTACGTGAAAGGTTGTTAAAGAATACAAAACGATTTGGACAATGATAACTTGTAACTAAGGCTGGAGTGCTCATATGAATAAAATAATTTTACAAGGATAACATTTAATTAAAGATGAAGTAGTCAGAAAAAAATAAAATAATTAAGACAGTTGCAACTCTTATAATTTCTAAAGGTTTAGGGGAGGGGAGCAAAGTAGTCCGGTTTATACATTCATCTAACGTTGGCCAAGGTAAAGAGAATGGCTGTGCAAATTTCTTCTGAACACACAGGCTTTGCTTATTCACGTGGACTTCTGTTACTTCAGCTGTTTGTAGAAGACGAATTCGTGAAGCAAATATAAGATTGGTAGGAATGCGATAAATAACTTTAGATGCTGTATTAACTTAAACCTGATGCTCACTGTCTACAAAGTGTTTTAAGATAGAGCTAAGAATAAATCTTGTTTGTCCCTTGCTTAACAATGCTGAATGATGTTTGGAGATATGATAATGAACCTGCTGGCTCCGCAGCTGCAGTCAGACCGGTAGATACACATAAAGGAGGTAAATTTAGGTAGTTTATCCTTATTTCTCATTTGTCTGTGGCACGGCTGTAGAATACTCGCCAACCATGAAGGTAGTCGGGGTTCGATTCCTGTCCGACCCACTCTATTGCCTCGCCAAACCAATAATAAGACTGGTAAAGAGGGAAGGAGGGACATGAGGCTAGCAATCTCATCTCGTAAAAATAAAAACCACTGCTCCATATTAGTTGATATGATTATGAACAATAAATTTTGTTCAAAACGCCATCCAGTAAATAATACTGTTTCACTGTGAGTCAGTGGCACAGTGGTTAGGACTCTCGCCGACCATGCACATGATCCGGGGTTCGAGCCCATGCCGACGCACACCTGATATGTATGGTCGGCCTGTGAAATTTGGCTACCGATATCCACGCTGAAAATTTCATACTTGTACCGATAATACGGTGTGAAATCAAGCTGCAAGCCATATCTAATAAACAAACTAATATGGAATTACTTACTACCACAGTGCCCAAGTTTTACACATATATAAAAACCACTGCTACCTAAACTTCAAGCCTTTAGTCTGAAACCCTATGTTCCACTGGGAACGTAGAATAAGGGTGGTAGTGAAGAGACAACGTAAATCTGCTGCATAATAAGCTCTTTTAATTGCATTCTTTAGGCTCTATGTTACTGATTCGCTGATGTCGTCACTCAAAGACTGCAGTTTTATGAAAAGTGTTTTGTTCGGAACTGTTGCCATACTGACTCTTGTAGGTGCTTAGTTCACATTTTTCTCAATGAACTTATCTGAATAATCATTTTTCTAAGTAATTCTCTAATGGTCTTAAGCTCCTCATCAAAGCAGTCGTCTGAACAGATAAACCTAGCTCTATGAACCAGACACTTCATCAAGTTACTTTTGTATTTCAAAGGTACAAAGCTCAAAAATGAATGTACCAATCTTTTTTTGAAGGTTTCCTATACACATCCCAGCTTAGTTTGCTATCTTCTTTCCTTGCCATCAAGACTTCTAGGAATTAGATACTATCATTACTTTCCTACTCTATGGTAAACTTTATTACTTATGCGCGTAAATAAACTTGTCAAGGATGTTCATAACATCACTCTCGTTTTTCATAACCAGAAATGTATCATCCATACTGTCAATATGCAAAATCCCCTATACACTGTGACATTTTCACTGTACAACGTTACTGTAATGAAGTTTCGGGAAATCGCAATTATTTTGACCACTGTATGTTTTCCTTTCAAAAATCCCTTTGGATGTTCTTCAAATGAATTCTAAATCTAGAAAACGTTTCTGACCATTTCATTAAGGCTGCAAGATAACGGTGTTGCGTGATAAAAAAGTTTTATTCCACGAGCATAGTTCACTGGACTAGAGGCTGAAATGACGGTTCGCTTGTTACTTATGAGACAGTTAATTGCCTCAAACAGTTATCTTTGCTCAACTGTCGCCTTTTAAGTTATATTCCTGGAATTCTGCGGCAAAAACTTTCCACTGTGTTATATATTCACATAACAAACGTTTCAACTACTATGAAACACACGGCAAAGCTAAGCTTGAGCACCAGTCAGTATCAACGGACAAATTACCTTGAACGCACTAACCGCATGATATAGGTGACTGTCAGGCATAAAACACATTTATTCATGAAAATGATGAATTACACAAGATAACTTTCTTTTAACGTATGACAAAAGTAATTCTTAGTTTGGGATTGGAGTATCAGCATAATAATTTAAATGCATTCTGTGCATATAATTATCTAGTCTTCTAACCCTAACAATAATCCTAATCAGTCAGCTAAAAATGTGCTAGAGTGCATTCTGAGAATCGAAAAAGTAGTTGAATGGTCAAAACAGTAAGATTAAAGAAAATATGATGCTTTATGTTGGACAGTACCCCAATGGTTCAAGATGACAGCGAGTGATGAATTCTCAAGACGGCGCAGAGTCCACATCCACTGACTTCATGAAATAAAACACATAGAAGAGGCATTGGTGTTGTATACCTATCCTATAAAATTCAATAGGGAGATAAAAAAACCAAAAGCAAAATAAAAATAATTGTGAAACTAGTAATGATAACATAAATAAGAGAGAATATAAGCCATCTACTGTTATACCATATAAGGAGGGGACATCTGAGACCCTACGTAGTATTCTTAATAAAGCAAGAATTAGGGTGGTATTCGAACCTACAAACTCAATCAGAGACAAGCTCTGTAGGCTAAAAGACCCGGTGGACCCAATTAAACAAAATAATATGATTGAAATAATACCCTGCAATGATTGTGAGGTCAACTACATAGGTCAAACTAGTAGATTGGGGGTAATCAGATTGTCGGAACATAAGAATTTGGCTAAGGTGGGAATGGTTGACTCCGAGAAGATAAGTGATTCAGAATAAACTCAGCAACTGCACTGCATGCAATAACACAACTACACAATAGCATGGTGGGAGAGGGTTAAGATTCTAAGAAAGTAGAGAGAGGTTGATTACTGAAGCCGACCTGGTTCATTGAGTCCACACCCAACACATGCAACAGAAATGACTCAATGCAAATACCAGAAATATGTATGTAAGATATTATTACCATCAGTCAGTCAAATCCCTCAATCCTATTTCAATTCAAGCACATCACAACATTCTAACAAGTTACTTATTTTGTCTATAAAAACACTCGTCTTATTTCCCATCTAAATAATTGTATCTGATCAACAACACTCATATTATTATTTCTGAATGTACATTTTCCTATATGATTTTTATTTAAATATCTAGTCACTTTTATACGTGTATATAAATGAAGGAAAAAGTTGTGTGAGTAACTTGATGTGATTATGAGCAATAATTTTTGCTCCAAACGTCATCAGTTAATATGACTGCGTAACACTGTGTGACTTATCAAAATAAAATCTTATCCATAATGAGATATACTCTACCACAGTGCCCAAGTTTTATACTTATATCAATGACTTCATAAGTAGCCGGCCAGAAGAACAGCCACACACTCGCTTCCCATTTACGACAAGACTGCACTGATCATTATCACGACTGAATTGCAAGAGTCGCGATTATTTGACACCCCGGTTGCACGTGCTGTGGGGCCAGTCCCTAGAATTTCGATCTTTGACTTCCTTGCGAAGTACTGAAATCTTGCGAAGCTTTCATTGTAATGCCAGACAACGTCTTCAGTGCAGACTTCAAAATGAAGCTCACTTAGCAATTAAACTACCCAGCTCAAAAAATGTAACTAAATCAAAATCATTCACCCAATTTGCGGATTTATTCTATTAAAACAGAGCTCGAATCTGTGGTGATAATAGCAATTAGCTTCCTTGTAAAGGATACAGAATTTCATTAACGTAATGTCTTACGACTAGCAAATTAAATATAATACCTAGGACTTGTCATGTGCGTGGTATCCAGATGTGGTTTGAAATTCATTCGTATTAATATACGTTGTTTCGTATTTGTCTTTTTTATTCAGTTTATGGGTGTTTAATTTACTGAAAGAAATACCTAACCTTATTTATTCAATTATCAGAAAACGTTTTCACCTAATTTAACTACAGACTTGTGATGCGAGTAAATAACATACTATGACAGTAAATTCTTAATGTCAAAACAATAAATTATTAAACAGTGTAAACTTATTTGAGTCACCTAAAAACTGAAATTTAATAAATTAACCCAAAAGGTTTACAAAACAACGTATTATTTTCTTAATTTTTTAAAACCTCCAACGTTTATACTGTTATCGTTTTATTGGTCGGTTCAAAGAACCCAATTCGTGGATATCGCTGAGCTGTTCTCTGTCTTTTGATATCCTCCTCACACTTTTTACACTTATCGATGAAAGTATAATCACATACAAAGTGTAGGGATGTAGAATAAAAATCAGCCAATACCGTTTTACGAAGAATCTAAGTAAACTTTTGTGAAAAAAAATTAGAAAATAGAATGGGGGGAATATTATTCATGTGCTTTACAAACAGGATTGGCCAATAACCGAGCCTATTATCTTCAAATATGCCTGTCTCATAGGTCATCATTCAGTATATATATAGACAAATGATTTGAACGAAATATAAGTTTCAGTACTAACTTGTTCAAGTTACTTCTGTAAAAATCAAAACTTCAAAACCACCAAGTACAGGTAATTATTTAATATTTGTACTTTATGCCATATTTTATCCAATTTATAGATCCATCATGCCCGTACAACTATTCCTTCTCTTCATCATGCTGTATACTGTTCTCAGTGTGCCAACAGCATATTTTACACAACCTTCATCTTCTTCGGTATCATCCTCGCCATCCTCGTCACTTACAGATACACAGCATGGTCAAAACAGTCAAGCTAATCAACAGAAATATGTAATCAAGACAATTACCAGTGTACCACTTTATCGAATTGTTAGCTATTTTACAAATCGTACAGAAGAAACTGAGACAAAAGTGCACGACTTGGGTATTCCTCATACTATGTATTATACACATATCTACTTGCATGGAAGTCTGCAGATCAAATAATGTCATCAGTAAGTTTTATTATTTGTTAGTGCTTAGATTTTATGATAAACGTATATGGATAATGACTCTAGATGATAATGATAATAATAGTGTAATATCGAATATTAGGTTTATATTTGTCTATAACAATAAAATAATAGGGAAATAAGAATTTCAATGGGCTTAATTTTAAATTTTTATTGTCATTTTCGAAACAGATAACTTTAGAAGCTGGCAGTCCTAATAGTACACTGAATGGTGCAAATTTAGTTTTATCAACACCTAAACTTGGTGACATGTATGCTCCAGGCCTGATAACGAATGTTCTTGATTTTGTTACAAAGTGTTATGACTGGGCTAAACCAACAGCATTATCAATTCCAATAAGTACTGCATTCGTATCAACGTTGAGAGTTGCAGCATCCGATGAAGTGAATCAAGCATTGATTAAATATACAGCAGAACAATTTTTAAGAGCAACAGTTCCTGGATCTTATCATTTTGTTTGGGAAAGAGATGCAACAATGGTAAGCGAATGTTATTTGTATAAAATTTATAAAATTCATCTCAACCAAAATGTTTTGATGGTAGAATAACAATAGTCTATGCAGATTAGATTAGGTTAAGCATTAATCCTACATGGAAAACCTTTGTATAGAATTGGTTTTTTATGTGATAATAAAACTGACTAGTTATTTCCTGTGTCAGAAGGTAAATAAAGGGAATTTAGTCAAATAGGTAGTATTTCTCAGGTAGTAAATGTGAGATTAGGCCACTTTTCAGAGAAATGAGTATATTTCTATTTGAACTCATGCAATACATTATTTTTAAGCAATAATTAAAGAGTAATTAATGTCTGAAAACCCTTGTCTAGCAATAAAACAAGTAATTTGTCTCAGCTTAAAAACTGTCAACAGTTGAGGCATGAAAGTAGTAGAATGCTAGAGTATTTTGGAAAATGAGTTAACATTTGGTGTTGTCGCTGAATTTAAATTATAAGAAGTCACATTTCAGTATAACTGTTTTTTTATTAGCTATTATTTAATTCATTTTAATCAATGGTAAATATCATGAGGAATGTCTTGATAGGCCTTGTTTTAATTCGCCGGTAAATGCAAATTTTTGTTTGTTTTAATTTCAGAAAGACTTCATGACAAAACTAGGCTATGAACAAGTTGCATGCGGAGGTAGTGAACAATCCCCTTCTCCGTGTGATTGGACTTTAATGGGTTTAACAACTGAGAAAGCAAGGGAGCAATGTATCTATCGACTAATTAATACAAAATCAAGTGAAGACGGTTTGCAGATTAGATAAACAGTCAGTATTCAACATTTTTATTCTATCGTATATCAAAATATGCCTAAATTGGACAAAAACACTCCACAACTTGAAGTTAGCAAATACCATAGAGACTGCACCAAAAAAGAAATAAAGAACATTTCAATGAAATCCTAATAAAGACTAAGATAATCCACCTACATATTCAGATTTTGTTTTTGTTTTTTTGTTTATTCTGAGAAATAACTCTGTTTCCCAGTGTTTTCTTGATTTTTCAAAAGAAAAAGTGTTTTTAAGTGTTCAGCAATATTGTATTTTATCTATATTTTTAAGAGTTAAACAAGTATTGAAGTCGTGTTCATCATGGGTTCTTTTGTTTTTTGAACTTTTCATCTAAATTTTTCCCAATTTCTTATCGTTCGGAAATTTCCATTTTCATACTATTCTTCATTTTTGTTGTCCGTTTCACTGTCGTCTCATTTTGAGGAGAATTTGTTTTTCAGCTAAATTTTCACCTTGACGAATATGTGTTTGTGAAGAAACATTTTTGTATACTCTATTTTTAATTGTTTTTGTATGTTTCAATATTATATATATATAGTCTCTTTCATTAAAATGCTTTGGGAAACAAATATTGTCTTGTTCTTTTGTGTTCATTTCGTTAAAAGTAACACTGTCCACATAGTTACCCTTTTGGTTACAAGTCTTGAAATGCATAATGAATCCCATAGCGATAAATAGGAGTAACAATGTCTTTATTCGTATGCATCATATAAGTTAATGTGGAAGCTTCTGAATTTGTTAATTAAGACCGAAGAAGCCTGAGAGAAGCGCCTTCACGTTATCTGAATTTGTACATATTTGTAATATCAGAAAAATAAGGTGAATCAGTTTAGGTTGTTGAGTGAAATTGAGTTTGGGTTTAAGATATGTCTTATTTCTAAAAACAGTCACTTTCTTTATAAGATAACACTGAAAGACGTAGATTAAACTTAAATCATATTTCACCTCGGTAATGTGGTGTTATTTGTAGTCGAAATTAATTTACACTTAACCATTCGTAAAAATGAGGTAAAACATCCTATTTGCATAGTTCGCACCACATTATGAAGTGGACCAATTTTAGCCTAGCTGTAGATGTTTCTTACATTCCGTTGTGTAGTAAATAGCTTCTATAATACGAATTCTGATGCAGTCAATGTATCTGTGGCTTTTCAAGGCACTCAGGCTTTGTACAATGAGAAAGATTACAGAAACGAAGTGTATAGCAATAGCTTAAAGAGATTAAGGTCCAAATAATTATCTCTTAGGTTCTCTGGCAACACTCTATTGATAACAAACTGTCGCTTAAGTAAGCTATTAGGAATCTATTCTAATATTTTGATGTCTACCATCTGCACCTTTGCTAACATGTTCAAATCAAATCTTTAGTATCGGCTTACTTGTAAGATGTATGTATAGAAACCATGTTTCATTTTCAGAGGGGGTTTAGAAAGTAACAAATTAGATTATTTCACTGTCGACTACCAGTCATTACATAATCAACCTTAAGTTCGAATTTCATGTTTAGGTGTTTAAGGTAAGTTGTATTTTGGTCATTGTGGTCACTTCAGAAGAGTAAAATTATTTGCAATAATTCCTCGGAATTTATTTTCTCAGTAGTCTATTTTTGTGCCAGACATTATGATTAGTAGACAGGTAATTAAGTTAATCTAACAGTAATTGTTCCTATGTACATTTGCTAACCTGTTGATATTTCTGCTCTGAATTCACTGGTCTGATTTTGGCATTTGATCTCCCTGAAGGGGTACGTTCGCACTACTTTGGGTTCCTAGTTGAAGTTACTTGTCTATTGGTTGGACAAAAGATAGTAGTTACACTTCAACAGATACAGAAGTCTCACTTGGAACACTATCAATAACTGAAATGTAGAAACATAAAACTCTATTCTGTTGATAGTCACTGAACCTATTTCCACCCATACTCTGACCTTAGTAAAATATCACCTGAAAACATAAAATTCAGTATAATAAAATATTGGGTTACTACTACTAAACAGACCTATATATACTTCGAAGATGAAAATTCAGGTATTCGCCTATGAAAGCAGGTTATATCCTAAAAGAATTTTCAAATTTACCTAATCAAACGACCTCAGTATTTTGATTTGTGCTTGGTACTTTTGGGAGTAACACGTAGGCAGAGATATATTTCAGTGGTGTAGAAACTCGGCAGATGAAAAAGAGCTGGTGTGACTTTAAACATAATGCAATAAGTCGGTAAAGGTAACTCGGAAACGAAATCATCAAACATTGTACAGTGAATACAACAGTATTGAATAAATGGAGAAAGCCTGGTCAGACAAACTTTTTCAACCACACAATAAATATAATATATACTATATATAATATATAATTAATTTACAGCCCACTTTATTTGGAACTGTCAAGTCACATCTTGATCAAAGCTCATCTAAATAGGAATATTCCCGACAAAGCAGGTGATAAGGGTCTGTCAGTATGAATCAGGTTAAACAAAAAATATGCTATAAACAACCGAACAGTATGGGATGATTTATCTTCATTTCAGAACCTTGAACTGATAGTCCGTTTGAAGCAAAACGTGCCTATATTTTGATATCATTTATGTCATAAGCAGTTGAAAAATAATCCCAAAACCAATCAAACAATCAGCTCATATTAAAGTCCTAAATTGATTGCTTGTGGTTTATTCAGATTTATTTTTGGGAAGGTGTCAATGAAATCACTCAAAAAATAGAGCAGAGAACCTAAAAATAGTTCCAGATGTTGCACTGGGTGAATTCTCCAAATAGACTTCCTTCTAATGACTAAGGATGTCTTGTTTTACAATCAAAATAGGACATTTTGGTATATTTACTGTACCCTGAATTGTTTGTGCAACTTTTTAAAGGTTTGTGATGACTGAACCTGTATTATGCATGACACTGACTAGTAGTGCTTTCCAATAGCTATTCCCATGACAGCAAATATCAGATATTGAAACAAATGATGAATCTTTTTAAAAATTAATTAAAAGCTATGTAGACCTCCTAAAAATAACAACCTTATTTTAGATTAATATAAAAAATTAAAATGTAGACATAATAGCAAAAATTAAAAGAGTGGATTGCGTAATGAGTAATTTTAGAAAAATAAGGAATAATACAAAGGTGAGTGTTCAAATTGATCACGTAATAGGCTATTGAAGGTGAATTAGTCAGAAAAGTGAGACAATTAAAATAATGGTAACTGATTAAAAGTGTCCATTAAAATTTCTTTCAGCGAATGTTCACTAAGCAAACAATATTCTTCTCGATAACTTCATTATGAGGTTCTGCAGTCATAGATATATAGCAGTCAATGAATTAGTGTTCTTAACAATATTAATGCTTAAATAACATCTAATGAATAATAGTGTCAGTGGATTACAGTTCAGTATCGTCAACATAACTATACAATGAATATAAAAAAATTGGGAAAGGTAATGATACAAATTCATGAATTTATAGTCTCTACCGAAGGCTTGGGTAGTAGTAGTGGCTAAATGTGCTTCTTCTGTACACAGAGCGCCAGTTATTTCAGGCGATTCGCGATGGCCTTTGCTGGCTGAAGTATGCAGTTCCCGGATTTTCTTGGCAGCTTGGTTGGTACCTGATACTTGATGGAGAAAGACTCTCCAATATTAGCTTTGTTACCAGTTCGGACCAGGTGTTCTAATATCAGGTTGTTGATGGTTTTTACTACACCTTTATTTAACCACACTAGAGAATTTTTCCAAGCACGAAAAATCAAGTTCTTAAAGCAACACTTAACAAAACTCGTTCAACAAGTGCAGTTGAATCGGTAGATACAATTAGAAATGACTGTTCTAGGTAATTCATCTTTCAATCAATGAATCAACACAAGTCGTGTAGAAAAGAAGACTTGTAGTTTGTCAGTGTTAAAAGTTCTTTTCACTGGTTTTCTTAACTTCCTTATAATTATTTCACTAGGTATATCGCGCTTATTTATGGAGAGTGGACAGTCCATTTCAACTTTCTTAATCATACGTTTCCCGATGAGTTTGTCTGGATAGCTATTTCCAATCAAGATATCACATACTATCCTTAGCTCATCTTCACTTACCTCTTCTGAGCATATAGCTCTAACTCTGTGGCTGAGGGTGCTTACTGAACTTTTCTTGTACTGGAGAAAAACGAAGCTATGAGAATATGTATATTGCCCTGGCCATATGCTTTTCCAGTGAAAATTTCTCTTTATACTACCATCTCGTTTTCTTGTAAGGAGGACATCTAGGAGGGTAATTCTATTTTGGGATTCCTCTTTGCACGTGAATTTCATAGCAGAATGTACTTCAGTGAATTGAGTTATTATTGTGTTCCTATCGGAATGATTATCACAAAGAATAAAGGCGTCATCAATATGCCGGGAATAAAATGAGAATTTTCTGATAATGTTGTTCAGAGGTCCATTTTCTAGTTTACTTAGAAAGAAATCTCCCAAAATGTGACTCACTGAAGAGTCCACCACCACTTGTCTGTAAAGTGGTACACCTTGATAACATTTCTTTTAGGATTCCTATTGAAATGCCATTATTTATCGACTGGCTATACATTTGTTCTCGTATGGAGCTAACCGTTTCTACTAGCGGTACATTTGTGAATAAGGATGTCAATTCTAGAGATAACATAGTCTTCTTCTCTATAGTGATATCTTTGATGTTTCACTGTCTGCTCATGCAAAGGTTTGAGAATATTAACTAACCATCTAGACAGAGCATACAAAAGTCCAAGAGGGAAGGTGGGTTATCAGCGTTTTATCTGCGTGTAATCACGGCCAACATAAGGAATGTGGCTGCTCAAACAACTGAACACACAGTTCTGTCTGATTCAAGTGGATTCTGATGGGTTTGGCTGTAAGTGAAAGTAGAACTCGTAAAGAAAAATCGAAATTCGTTGGAATGCGGTAAATAACTTTGAATGATTTAAAAAAATCACTTTCATGCTCACAATCTAC